TATTGCGCTAGAATTGCTGCTGCGTCACAGCGAATTTTCTGCTTAGCGATTCATTCTGCTGCAAGTTGCTCTGTTTATCCGTAATTTAAAATCGCTGTGCGCAGAAAGCAGGCGGCGAAGGTTTCTTCGAAGTGCAACTTAATACATGCGTGTTTTTTCAGCACTTATGAATTTACACTGTTTTTTCCAGTTCTCGACAAATTTGGGGGAGAAATAGATATTTTCAGTTTCGTCAGAGTCTGCTGTTGATAATATCTCTAGGGGGTGATACCTGTAATTGCTTTGAAAAGTGTAAGGATAAAAGGGCTGAAGTGACACTTCTTTTTGAAAAATCGCAACTATTTATTTTTTGTTAGCTTAAAAACACTTTTTCACAGGATTTTCGTGATTATGGTGGAATCGCGCAAGCAGGACGTTCAACAGCAGCAGCCGCACCACCGTCAGCGTCTTCCCTGTACAGTGGCATCAACGGTCCAGTTTACAATAACATGAAGCTAACAGCAGCAACGACAACAACAGGCCAAACAGGAGCAGCAGCAAATACTGGAGTGACCATACTGAATACCCAAATGTCAGCAACATCAGTCCTGGCCAGTGTTGACGACAGTTCATCAAGCAGGTCGAATAGCCCTCTTGCAAGGATACCAAGTCCACCGGCTGCTGCAACTGCTGCTGCTACCGTTACTGCTACTTCATTCTCGTAAGTAACTCAGTGTAATTTTTCATGCGTTTTTCCTGTGCACAGCCAGCAAAAACGCATATTGTTAAGAGGCCGTCTGTGTGCGTGTGCGTGTATGTGTGTTCGGAAAGCGAGTGCATTTTGTCACCCACTTTCATCTCAGCAACCGGGAAAGCTGGGAGGCTGAAATTTCGGGTATATGTTTCTACCCTGTCTGTCGCCCTCCCGTTTTAAGATCTTCCCTCACACGCACCTAAATTCCGCGTATGGACTCCCCGAAAAAATATGCAAATTTCTTTTGCGGGAAGCGATTTCGCGAACCAAGCAAGATGCAAAGCTGAAACTTTGTAGGGATATTCTCTGTGAATGTGCGAGCTGAAGATTTCAAATCCAATTGTCGCGCATGCTTGTGCAGCGCGTACGATCGCGCCAAAGTTTGCAACTTGGTACTGTGCTAACCCGAAAACTTGCCGGAAAATAGTAGCTGAAATTTTGTCAGGATGTTTATCTTCCATATAGGAAATAATATACCGCCGATTTGCACTTGCGCCGTGACTTAGGGCACTTCAAAGATATTTGTAGCGAAGTGGGTGTTTCGCTTGTCGGATAAGCTGCGAGACTGAAAATTCGCTGAGATATTCTACTTTCAAGTGCGGTCGTAGCTCTGCTTGGCGATGAAATTCCCTGCAGGTGAACATGAGAAATATTCAGCGTTATCGAGAAATCAGAAACGAGTGCGCTTTACAGCGAACGGCCGCTCTCATCCAAATATATAAATGAGGATTCAGTTCGCTTGCATATTTGGATTTTTTGATAAACGAACGCTCGAGCAATACTTCCACTTTTTAGTGAACTGGAAATTTGCACTTTTTCATAAAATTTGCATTTTTTTCAAAAAGCTAGCATTTGCCGAAAAAATGG